GCGTTAATTAGTACCTCTCGAATATAATGGGTCGGCCCTGAATATACTAATTGGCCCCCTCAAGCTGGGGCGTGGATGTCTAGGACTCCTAGTTTGGAAACCAATGCTTCAAACGTAGCATGCAACACCACCTTGGTGATAACATTCATTGTCCGGCTTATTGAAGAAAATGAAGCAGCTTGGTAACACATGCAAGTATCTATTCGCGAGCATCATGAAAATATATTTCTATATGTTTAGTGCGCTTATCATCAAAGATTTGGTTGTCAACTATCCATTTTGCAAGCTTATAACATGCATGTTGGGCCAACTATAGCTCGAGGACCCGAGAATGTCTCAAAATCCATTGGAAAATGGGTAGACAAGGATCATGAAAAGTATAATCAAATGCTAAAGTCAAACACATCTTCAAATGTGCTCTGAAACGATATGAGTTTGGAAAGGTAGCCATGTGTAAAATCACAAGAAGTTTAGGGTACATTTAGAGGTAGCATACGAATTTATGTCTTGTAAAATTAGAGAATCTAGATTTCATATGGGTTTTAGAGAATATAGGTTATCTACCACACGTAAAAATGAGACAGTTGTCGAGACATATGAATATACTACAAACATTGTTAGTGGTCTTATGAATTTGGGAAAACCATATAGTAACTCAAACTTGGAAAAAAAATCTTGAATAATCCACCTAAAAATTGGCGTTATGAGTATATGACTATAGATGAACCCAAAGAGTTGTTCAAACTAGAGCTTGGTTAATTAATTAGATTTAGCAGTTCATGAAGACATATTTACAAGTTAGAACTAAGAATAACTAACAACCTAAGAGGGGAAGGATCGATCTCGCCTTTAGCCAACATAACCAATAATGACTTGGATGAGATTAAATGATAGATCAAATAGGTCTTCTATATAAAGGAATGTAGATTGTACAATTCAAGAAGCAACCTAGAAACAATTCAAGAACAAGGAAGTTATGATAGCACATGATTAATTGTGGGCTTCTATGAACCATAATTGATGGTGTATAGCATTGATGATCTATCAATCAAGCATTGATACTACTCGAGGTACAAATGGTTGATCTTTCCCACTATGCTCGTGTAGCATCAATGAGGTATGACTAGAGAGTAATTTCTTATCAGTGTAGGAAATACTAAGCACAATGCATATAGTAGCATACTATAGAATCTTAAGCATCGATAATAAAGAAGCATTCATACTAGATAAACAACAATGATCATCACATAGGCATTGAAACATAGGCATCCATGCATAGATAATGAGCATCAAAATTCATATAGATAAACACAAGCATGATATGAAATCATAACATTCATTCACATAAAGATAAACGAGTTCACTTCTTCATACAATCAATTTCGAACTAGCTACATAGAAGAGGAGGGTACCTCCATCAATGATGACTACATCTTCTAAGCTGCAGGCTCTCCTATGAAAGCTAAGCTCTTACTCGAGTAGAGTACAAAGGTTTTGTGTGTTTGTGGAGTCTTAATAAACTAATGAGCAATACCCTCTATTTATGGGGAAAGAGCCATGCTAAAAGTATTCTAAGCTTACTGAGAAAGGGTCTCCTACTCCTTGTGGGCTAAGTAAAATTCTTGCACAAGGCTAGGGTTTAGTGACAGTAGGGTGGTGGTTTCGACCGTCTCTCTTTTTCTTTGTGGTTGGGATCCTTGAACCTTGGACGACCCTCCCTTTCAGTTTGGACACTTCTTGACCAAGCCTTCTCCAGTGGTGGTTGGACTCGATGCTGGGCTGCCCCATGTTTCTTCATGAGCTTGGGATGATTCTACTTCCTATGAGCTTTTCTTGAGATTATTAAGGAACTTCTAGTTGACTTCTCCGTCATTGAACCTCATCTTTCTAGAAAAAAACTCCATATTCTTCTCTTTATAGCTCCATTGGTCCTCCAGAGTTATCCAATGCTTGACCCAATCTTCCTTATGTTGTTTTGTACCTTCAAAATCAACAAAAACATATCGAGAAGGAATCAAAGAGTACAATAACATAACCTAGGTCTATTTAAATCTCATTGATCAAATAATTATGATTTAGATAGGAAATACTATTGAAATGGCTAAAGATTCCTTTATAGAAGGGGAAAATGTATCAACAATGACAGTGACAAAAACTATAAATAAAGTGTCATCAGAAATAGCCCCACCTTGAATTTTGCTTGTCCCCAAACAAACATTATTCATAACCATACAGCTCAATGTATTCTAAGAACCATCACTCAACTCTGGTCTTAGGTAGTGACGCATAAGTAACTTAGAAGGTCAACAATAGCAAGAACATTATACCACATAATCCAAGCATCAACTACTAATGATGCATCAGAATCTTAAAACGATAGGTCGAAGCTTTTAAAAAATTATTAAGCTTTGATTGCTTTCTATCATCAACTTGACATTTCTCTAAAGCACTTTGTCTATTCAAACTTAAACTCTTCATATGGTTTTTGAAATTTTCTTCTCTTGCAAACGGCTCCTTTTTTCTGATTCTTCTCATGGTGAGAGCTCTTATTAAACTTTACCCTTGTATTGTCAATCATAAAAACTCATACCACATCATATCAACATCATATCATTGTGATATCATACACTATCAGTGGTAATATCGTGATATGATAGTGGTATGATGACCTAAAAAATTTTAACTCAAAAAAATCTCAAAATGGATATTGTAACGTGCCGAACCTTTTTCCAAGCAAGATATTGTCTGCTTTGGCCCTCGACACTCACGGTTTTTGACTTGGGGTGAAATTCAAGGTGACTTCCCATTAGGTCACTCATCCTTGTTGTACCACACTGAGCACTTTTAACTTCAGAGTTCTCACAAGAACTCTTCCATTTCACCTCAAAACGCGTCTTGTCAGTTAAAGTCGGTTTCTTACTTATGAACCATGAATCGCTCTCCTACTTTGTCGATGTGGGGTTTGCCTAATGTGTTACAAATATCATCTTGTAGAGCATAAAAAAATCTGATTTTTGTGCAAATTTTCTGAAATCTTATATAAAATGAATGCATTATGCCCCGTTAAATTTTCGTTGGAGATTTGAAATAAGCTTTAATAGCCACCTAGAAATTTGCGGCAATCTAAGAAAAAAGAAGAGAATAGGGATCACATAGTAGACATTGCACCTAGCCGTACATAAACATGGTTAACCTTATTTTCCACCATGACATACCCCTCCGCAATAATGGCCATCAAATCTACAACCCCTATTTCCCCACATTACACCAATACTATCTCACCCTCCTCCATATTTCATAAAAATTTAAAATAATATGATGCTAAAACTCTTAAACTTCACCTTTCCAATTCGATCAATACATATATGCAACCTTTTATCTCTAATTTCCACAAGAATGTAAAATTGTGTTATCTTTCTCATTTTATTTTATTCATTTATGATATATATAATATAAGTTCGACGTGTTAACTTAAAATTGCACGTGACTTCAATTAAAATTACATTAGTTTTAACTTGAATTTGGTTGGAATTTACGAGTATTGTCCACGAGTATCAAAACCATGACATGGATGAGGATAAGAAAACTTGATTAAGCCCTTCCCATCCTTTAGATCTAGACACACTAATCTTACGGTTAAAAAGTGAGAAGGACTTTTTAATTAATGACAGGGGTAGTTTGGGTATTATGAAAAATTATAAAGTATACAAACTGGACTTACAAACATTACAAACTAAGAGAACAAAACATACAAGCCGATTTACAAACAATACAAAACATACGAACTATACAAACAATACAAACTAGACCGACAAACAATACAAACCATACAAAATGAAAAAAAAAACCGGGTTGACTTTGGAGACTTCATCCCTATATAGAGCGTTTCGTCCCAAAGTCAACCTAGTTTGTTTTTTGACATACAAACATTACAAATATGGTGGGGAAAAATGACAAACTAGACCGATAAACCATACAAAATGGAAAAACACCCGGGTTGACTTTGGAGGCTTCATCTCTATATAGAAGAGTTTCATCCAAAAGTCAATCAAGTTTTTTTTTCGACATAAAAAACATTACAAACATGGATGACAAAAATGACAAACATGGTGGTTAATAATAACAAAGTTTACAAACATTACAAAAGTAACCGAAAAACATTACAAAATAACAAAGCTTACAAACATTACAAAAGAAACGGACAAATAGTACAAAGCATAGTAACCGTACAAAATAGTCATAAACATTACAAATATAATAGACAAAAATGCCAAACAATACAAACCGAGTTGTCTGTAAACATTACAAATCAGACTTACAAATATTACAAAATAGAACGACAAACATTGCAAAACTACCACTGTCGTTGGAAAAATCTCGTCGCGGTCCGAAATTCTCGCCGGCGCTGGGAAATCTCTCACAAAATAGAACGACAAACATTACAAAACTACCACTGTCGTCGAAAAAATCTCGACGTGGTCCAAAATTCTCGTCGGCGCCGGAAAATCTCTCTCTCTCTGCGCGCGAAAGTGCGGAAGTTGGCCAAAAAAATGCCTGGAAATGGAATCGCGGGGGAAATTTTGCCGGTAAAAGCGCCGGCGGAAAGCAAAAGCGTTTGCCGGGGACGGAATCGAGCCGGAAATTTCCCCGCAGGCGAAAGGTACGTGGACGGGATGCAGTTTATTTATTTATTTTATTATTGAAAATTAAAAAATAATCTTGTAATTACTATCTTGTCCTTGATTAAATTCAATTAATTATAACCATTAGATTTTAAAATGTTTGAAGGGCTGACATCGACTTAGGCAAATTGACTAAGAAACCCCTCTTGATCACCTGATCTTAGGCCGAAAACTTCGGCCAATTGGCGCCTCGTTGCCATCCAAAAAGATTAGACTCTCATTGTTTATTCCAAACTACAATCGGTCCTTCTCAATCTCAATTATGAAATTAAAGAACCATATATTCCAAACCATGCATCTGCAGGCCGTAATATTTATAATCTGTTTTGGTTGATCCTTTTGTCTAATAAATACATCACCACCATTGATCCCCAATCAACAACTTCTTCACTCATCCCTCCAAAGTCCAAACTCTCTGCAACTCTGTTTCTCGTCACCCAAGCTCCCTCACCCCCAACAAAATAATGGAGACAGCACAAAGTTCAAACTCTCCGAATTCATCACCATCATCGTCCGTCTCCTCCGTTGCCCTGATCGTAGGCGCAACAGGGATGGTAGGACTGAGCCTGGCAGAGGCACTGAACAACCCTTCAACTGTCGGCGGGCCATGGAAAGTCTACGGCGTTGCTCGCCGTCCATTACCCACCTGGTTCCCGCCTTCCCTCCTCCACAAGTTCATCACTCTCGACGCCCTGAATCGAGATGAAACGGTCGAGAAACTCTCCCCTGTTGCCCACGAAGTCACCCACGTCTTCTGGGTCGCTTTCCAGCTCCGTGAAATCGAAGAGGTCAACATCTCCCTCAACTCCACCATGCTCTCGAATGTCGTCGCCGCACTCAGCTCCGCTGGGTCGAATTCCCGACTCAGACATGTCACCTTGCAAACAGGTAACATGGTAGATAGCAATTCTGAAACAGGGCTGTATATATAGTATGGTAGGAAATGTTGGACACCTAGGTACACAAATTATGACACAAAATTGGGTTTGACTTTGCGTTTAATTAGGGACGAAACAGTATATGGGTCCGATATACGACCCAGAGCACGGGTCGCGGCTGGTGATGCACGAACCGCCTTTTCAAGAAGGGATGCCCAGGCTGCCGTATCCCAATTTCTACTACGCGCTGGAAGATCTCTTGGCGAGGGATTTGCCGGAGGGAGTTACTTACTCTGTGCATCGGTCGTCCATTATCATGGGCGCCACGCCTAGAAGCATCCACAATGGGCTGCTGACGCTGGCGGTCTACGCCACCATTTGCCGCTACAAAGGGCTCCCCTTCAGGTAATTAAAGTGGCTGCAATCCAAAAATCTGAGCCAGAGTCAAAACAGAGTGTTTCAGAAACAGAATCTTGTTTCCGATTTTCACATGAAGGGTTGAGAAGAAACGTCTTTAATTTGTTCAGGTACCCAGGGAATAAGTACACATGGGAACATTTTTGTGACATGTCTGATTCAAGGTTGCTAGCAGAGCAGCAGATATGGGCAGGGACGACGGAGGGAGCCAAGAACCAGGCGTTCAACTGCTCGAATGGAGACTTCTTCACATGGAAGGGGCTGTGGAAGGTATTGTGCGAGCTGTTCGATGTGGATTTCGTGGATTTGGATGATGCGGAGAAGTTTGATGCGATGGAGATGATGTCCGGGATGGGAGATGTGTGGGATGAGATTGTGGAGAAGCAGGGGCTGTACAAGACCAAGTTGGAGGAAGTGAATTGCTTCGATGCGATGAAGGTGGTGACCAATTTCAAATTCCAGCATGTTTGTAGCATGAACAAGAGCCGTGAGTTTGGGTTTGTGGGCTTTTATGATACGTTCAAGAGCGTTCGTTACTGGGTTGGGAAAATGAGGGAGATGAAGATCATACCTTGATTGGAGGCTCCATGGCAGCGGCATGCTCTGTTTCTTTAAATTTTCTCTCCTCTTTTGTGTGTTGTGATTCGTGTTCGTGTCCTCTTTTGTGTTTGTGATTCTTGTTCGTGTGATATGGCATAATAACTTTGATTCAGCATGAATCGAAAAGAACCCGCTTTGTTAGTATTTGGGGTCATTAACATACAAGAACGTAAACTGTTTGGAATGCACATGTTATAGTTGGTCGGATAGATTGTTATTAGAAAAGCCTATTTTACATTGATTAGATCATGGATATATATACACAAATCTGAATATGGAGCCATGCTCTATACAGCTAGGAGGTAGCTAATGAGATATGGAACATTACATAGTTGCATGAGCAGTTAATGTCATTGTCTGCTAATGAATGTTATCTGTCTTTCAATTAATAATTAACAGTACTCCCCCTCAAACTCAAGATGGCGGATCTAAGGACGCCAACTTGAGTTTGGATAGAAGATCATGAAAGCGAGATGGAAAGTGGCTTTTGGTCAAGACATCTGCAGTCTGGTGCTCAGATGATACAGGAACCAAACTGAGCGTGTTGTCATGTAAGTGGTGGCGTACTAGATGACAATCGATCTCAATATGTTTTGTGCGTTCGTGGAAGACATCATTGTGTGAAATCTGTATGGCACTTCGATTGTCGCAGTAGAGTCGAGTGGCAGAAGTTTGCGAAGCAGTTAAGTCATCAAGAAGCCAACGAAGGCATAACAATTCAGCAGTGGTGTCAGCAAGAGCACGATACTCAGCTTCAGTGCTAGAGCGAGCAACAACTTTTTGTTTCTTGCTTCTCCAAGAGATGAGGGATGAGCCAAGGAAGAAGCAGTAGCCGGTGGTTGATCGTCGATCAGTCGGATCACCAGCCCAATCAGCATCTGAGTATGCACAAAGCTCAAAAGAAGATGATGCAGAGAAGTGTAAACCATGATGAATGGTTCCCTTGATATATCGAAGAATACGAAGCACAGCAGCATAATGAGTAGAACACGGTGCTGCCATGAATTGACTAACAATGTGTATTGCATAAGCAATATCAGGACGAGTGACAGTTAAATAGATGAGACTCCCAACAATTTGCCGATGAAGTGTGGGATCATCGAGTAGAGCTCCATCTCTAGGGGAAAGTTTGACATTGGGCTCAAGAGGAGTAGATGCAGTTTTTGAGTCTGTAAGGTGTGCTCGAGAGAGTAACTCGGATGCATATTTAACTTGGCATAGTGAATAACTACCATCATCTGCCGTTGTGACCTCCAAGCCCAAAAAATACCGAATAGAGCCAAGATCCTTCATGTCAAAATTGTTGCTGAGAAACTGCTGAAGATCCGCAATGCCACTAAGATCATCGCCAGTGATTATCATGTCATCAACATATAAAAGAAGGATAATGATGCCTTGAGAAGTGCGACGAATAAATAGAGCTGAGTCATATGCACTAGAGGTGAAACCTGATGACTGCAAAGTACGACTAAATGTAGCAAACCAAGCACGAGGCGCCTGTTTAAGCCCATATAAAGCTCGTCGAAGACGACAAACTTTACCAGGAGGACATGGATATCCAGGAGGAGGCTTCATATAAATTTCCTCTTGTAGTTCACTGTGAAGAAATGTATTTTTGACATCCATTTGGAGAAGTTTCCATTGACGAACAGCGGTAACTGCTAACAAAGTGCGAAAGGATGTAAGACGGGCAACAGGAGAAAATGTTTCTTCATAATCAATGCCATATTCTTGAGTGTATCCTTTGGCGACGACTCGGGCTTTAAATCTCTCAACATAGCCATCAGCATGGGTTTTGATTTTGTATACCCACTTGGATCCTATAAGGGTTTTGCCAGGTGGTAAGCAAACTAAATCCCAAGTATGAGTTTTGTCAAGAGCTTCATTCTCTTCTGCCATTGCTTTCCGCCAAAGAGGATTAGTACTAGCTTCCTTATAGGTAGAGGGTTCATAGAGAGAGGTGGAGTAACAATGATAATCATTAAGCCGAACACTGGGAACACGATTACGAATAGGATGAGAAGAAGTACCTTCTGGTGCAGGATCATCAGGTAGGGCATGGTCAGAGGGAGAAGCCGTGGGCGGAGCCGAAGGGGAATTATCTGTTGGCGGGGTGATAGGTGAACTTGATGAGGTGGAATGGTTAATTGAAACTCAGAAGGAAATAGGTCGACAGATGGATAACAGAAAAAACTAGGTATATCAACACGAAATGGGGACAGAGATGAAAACACAGTGTTCTCCCAAAAAACTACATGACGAGATACACGTAGCCGATTGGATATTGGATCCCAGCAACGATACCCTTTATGTTCAATCCCATAACCAAGAAAACAACAAAGACGAGCACGAGGTTCAAGTTTAGTACGCTCGTGAGGAGGCAAGAGAACAAAACAAGCAGATCCAAAGATTTTAAGGTGGCTATAAGATGGAGAAGTACCATAGAGACGCTCATAGGGGGAGACTGATTTGAGTACCGATGATGGAATGCGATTTTGGAGGTAGACGGCAGTAAGTGCAGCTTCTCCCCAAAAATTTTCAGGACAGGATGATGAGATAAGTAGGGTGCGAACAGTGTTGAGAATGGAGCGATGTTTTCTCTCTGCACGACCATTTTGTTGTGAGGTATTAGGGCAAGATCGTTGAAGAAGTGTTCCATGTGATTTTTGGAGAGATTGAAGAGCTCTGTCTACATATTCCATAGCATTATCAGACCGAAGTATTTTGATTTTACGATCAAATTGTGTTTGAATCATAGAGGCAAATTGAGAGTAAATCAAAGAAATTTCAGAGCGCTGGCGGAATAGATAAAGCCATGTATAACGAGAATAATCATCAATAAAAATGACAAAGTATCGTAACCCGCCTGCAGTCACAGTAGGTGAGGGACCCCAAAGATCAGTGTGAACAAGATCAAATGGAGATAAGGAGACGGAGTCACTATTATTGAAAGGTAAAGCAGACATTTTACCCTTGGTACAAGGAACACATTGGAGAGTGTTTATTGAAAATGGACCGATAGTGCCTTGAGAGGCCAATAGACGAAGATTATGAACGGACGCATGCCCTAAACGGTCATGCCAGATTTGGAAAGATGTAACGGCGACAAAAGGAGTAGGTTTGGGTGGAGGTAAGCGAAGGGAGGTGAGTTCAAACATACGCCCCACTTTACGGCCTGTCCCAATGACTTGTCCCGTCTGAGGATCCTGCACACGACAACCAGATTTTGAGAAAGTGAGTTCAAGATCAAGGTCACAAAGCTGACCAACGGATATGAGGTTGAGGGTTAAGTTGGGGACAAAAAATGTATCAGGAAGGACCATATCAGACGAACAAATAGTGCCTACATGTTCAATGGGCATGAGAGAACCATTGGCAGTTTGAATATTTGAGTTACTATGGGAGAGCTTTTTGGAGCAAAAAAGTGTGGAACTGGAAGTCATGTGATTGCAGCAAGCAGAATCAAGGTACCAAGCATTACTACCTGACAGGGCAGACTTGGCAGGTGTAGGTTTAGAATTACCACGCAGTTGAGCGAGAATGTTTTCAAGGTCGCTGAGAGTAAGAGATGGAGAGGAAGATGAACTTTCATCTTGGGTACTTATGGCTGAGGTTGCAACCGAGCGAGTAGAAAACTCAGAATGGCCACCCTTCTTTGGAGTAGTCTTGATTTTGTTAGCGTCCGGCTTGGGAGGTCGTGTCGGACAAAATGGCAGGATGTGACCTATCTTGTGGCAGTACCTGCATTCTACAGTTGGACATTGTGCCAAAGTATGATCCGAGCGACTACAGTTCTTACAGAACTTGTTGGCAGAAGATGTTGTTGCCAACACCATGTCTGAACGACGAAGCTTCAACATCCCGAGGCGAGTTTCTTCAGATATTAGTTCCGAGATAGCACTTTCAAGAGTGGGAAGGGGGCTTCGATGGAGAAGAGAAGCTCGAACTGCTTCAAAATCAGAATGGAGATCCATAAGAAACTGGATAAGATGAACTCGATCTTGCATCATCTTGGCATGTCCAAGCAGGATCAACTTGTGAGAGAAGATCCCATATAGATTGCATTTGCACAAGGAAGTCGATCACCAATTGATCTGGTTCTTGCTTCAGACGGTGCAGTTGATCCCATAGTTAATATTGTTGTGCCAAGTCTAAGGTGACATAGCGGGCTGCCAACAAATCCCAAACTTCTTTTGTTGTGTCAAATCTGCCAAACTGTAGATGTATGGAAGGCGCCAAAGTATTGCGCAGCCACGTAAGAACCTGATGATTTTGACTGTTCCAATCATCAAGTCGCTCCAAATATTTGGATGGAGCTTCATCAGCAGCTTGAGTTGGTTTGGAAACTTCTCCGGCAATCAACCGCCATAGCTTCCGTCCCTAGAGGAAGCTGCGCATACTTTGTGCCTAGATGTGGTAGTTGCCACCGTTGAGGATGGAGGAGATAGGTTGAGGAATATCTGATTTTTCCATTTTTTTTTTCTTTTCTGGTGTGCGTTGGAATTTGGCTGAAAAGGTAAAAAGAAAGAATAAAGGAAAGTGTAGAATGGAAATAAGTGTCAATTTAATGATAGGCAAAGAAGAAGACGTGTGTGGGGGGAAGTGATGGGGTCTCTTGGGACTTGGGATATGTTACAGAGAAAGAGACGTGTGAGAATCGGGTCTGACTTGTGATGGGCTTCCGAAAAGAGATAGAGAAAGAAGAAAGTGTTTTCTTTCTCTGGTTTGCTTGGCGGTAGAATGTCGCCGGAGACAACAACCGATGTTGAGACGGGGCAATAGCAACAACAGGAGTAGTGAATGGTCTGAGAGACAGCAACGGCGGAAGTGAAGCTAGAGACAACAGGACCCGGTGTGGTGACGAGTAGAATGGGGATTCGCTGGAGAGATTGACAGATGTTGGGATGGCAGAAAAATTGTTTGATCAACGACAAGACAAAGACAACTCCGACTGAGGCAGTGGTGATGAGAAGCCTCCGCTTATATGGACTAGTAGCAACGACGGTTGCGGCTATGGTAATCAGAGACAGCGGCAACAGCGGCGGGTATGGAAAACAGAGAGTAAGCGAGAAAGAAAACAGAGGCTCGGTGGCTGCTATGAACAGAGGTTAAGGTATGGATGTTTTATGAACTGGGATTACAGATCGGTTGAAATTTGGAACTTCAACTTTCTGAATAGAGAGGCTCTGATAGCAAGTTGGTCGGATAGATTGTTATTAGAAAAGCCTATTTTACATTGATTAGATCATGGATATATATACACAAATCTGAGTATGGAGCCATGCTCTATACAGCTAGGAGTAGGGCTGTCAGTCGGTCGGTTTCGGTTTAACCGAAAACCGAAAAGCCGGTTTTCGGTTAAACCGAGCGACCCTCTAGCACTACCGACCACCGACCGACACGTCTCACACGGTTATCGCCTAACCGACCGGTCGGTTATCGGTCAAAACCGCGGTTAGCCGAATTGAATACAAAAAAAAAAAAATGAAAAAAAGTTGGCCACCACACATTCAGACCCACCTTATCTTCATCTTCTTCTCTCCTCACCCAAAAGGAGGAAAAGAACCACCGAAGTCTTTTCTTCTCCCCTCTCTCTCTGCCTCCTAACCCTCCATCTCCAAGACCTTTCTTCTCTCCTCTCTCACTTTCCTTTTCCTTATGCTCGGGGACCCTCCATCTCCAAGACCCTTCTTCTCTCCTCTCTCACTCTTCTTTTCCTTCTGCTCGGGGACGGCCGATGGACGCGGTTCTCTGCTCGGGGACGGCGACAGCGAGGCGATGAGGACGAGATCTGGGCGAGGCGGCTGCGAGGAGGACGAGATCTGGGCGAGGCGGCTGCGCGAGGCGACGCGGCTGCACGAGGCGACGCGGCTGCGCGAGGCGACGCGGCGAGGAAGGCATCTGGACGGGTCACGGCCGACGAGGAAGGATCAGGAAGGCGGCGAGGAACGGAGGAATGCGGCGGCCGTGAGGCGACAAGGAAGGGAGCTGGGCGGCGGCCGTGAATCGTGAGGGTGAGGGTGAGGGTTTGAATTTGATGAGAGGAATCTAGGGTTTCAGTTTGGGGTTATGGGTTTTATATGTAATTTTTTTTTGCAGGGAGGGCAATATATGAGGGGTTGTCGGTTTGGTTCGGTTTTTTTGGATAACCGCGGTTAGTAATGGTCGGTTACTCGGTTATCCGAAGCTGTGTTATTCCCTCCGTCCACCGACCGAAGTAATTTTAGTCTCGGTTTTCGGTTAGCCGAAAACCGGTCGGTTCGGTTGTAACCGCCGGTTATCCGCTAACCGGAAACCGAACTGCCAGCCCTAGCTAGGAGGTAGCTAATGAGGTATGGAACATTACAGAGTTGCATGAGCAGTTAATGTCATCTGTCTGCTAATGAATGTTATCTGTCTCTCAATTAATAATTAACAGTTATAATTGGAGTCAATTCATGTGAAATTTGGTCCTAAATACTGGTTGGAAAAAGAAAAAAGAAACATAATAATTGGATGTTATTTTCCAAATGTTAAAGGAGGGCTATTATTTGTCAAATACGGCGGTATTGTGTTTTTTCCCTTCTTCTTTAGATAATGTTATTGTGTTTTTATTCTCACTAGATATGTTTGTTTGTTTGCCATTCGCAGCGAGTGGTGTATTGTACTCTAAATGTGTTATATGAAAAAATTAGTAAAATGTAACTCATAAAACATAACTCCAAAAACAACAACAAAAGCACAAAGATTTGGTGGGAGGACTCCATAATAATTTACACACGTTGGCCAATGAGGTTATGGATTAGAGGTTGATGATTTACGTATTTGGAGCTCGACAACTATTAATTAGAAAATTTACGAAGTTTTTACATCTGAAATGAAAAAAAAAAACAAAAGAAAGATAACCGATTATGCAGATGTCTTACTCCAAGAAACAAAAAGATAAACTCGGGATTTACCATGTACTTTCTACCAAGGTTGAAAAGAAAAAATAAATAGAATATAAAAAAGTCAACAGACAACAAAGAGAGATGAAACAGATGAAAGAACGCAGCATTTTGTTTCATTGGTATGGAAGCCATTGTCATTCTCTTCAATGGGAAATAATAATCTTCTCCATTGTCTTCTTACTCGAATTTGAGGAAGATAGATGTTGGAGTCCGAGTGAGAGTAGGAGTGAGAGTCAGATAAAAGGGGGATGAGGAGAGTAAGCAATAGGATCCTCTTTCTTTCAGCCGAAATGAAGTTACAAACAGCTATGATCGGGAGAGAGGAGATTTCTAGAGAGAGAGAGTTTATCTCCTAGAGTGAGAGAGTAAAAATGCAATCCCCTCACCCACTGGAGTAAATGTCGTATTTATAGGCTACATTGTGGTGGGTGGGTATTTAATGCGACATGACTACTGAACTTGTCAGGCGCTTAGGCCATGACTCTACCTAGAGGTGGCAATTGGATCGGATTCGTGGGTTCGTGGATCGGATTCGTGGATTCGTGGATTGGATCCAAATGGATTCGTGGATTCGTGGATCGGATCCAATGGATTCGTGGATTCGTGGATCGGATCCAATGGATCCGTGGATCCATAACAATAAATCGTCCTTTCATTTACAAAATGCCCCGATCGGATCCAAATGGATTTTGTTTAATTCCTTCCGCAATTGCATACTTATCACTAGGTAGCTTCTGGACCTGTGTTTTCTGGAAATGCAACTTGGTTACAAGTTTCAAGAGAAAGGTTCCATTAAGATAACAGCCGAGCTACCTATTGCATACTTATCACTAGCTAGCTAGGCAGCCATTGAAACACCATTAACAAAGAACCCAAAGAGGTCGCCATTAACAGCCAAAGAAGAAGGGAAGTTTTCTTAACAATAGATAAACACAATCTAGGACATGAGAACCCAACGAGTGGAAGTTTTCTTAACAACAGATAAACACAAGCTACTTCAATTTCACTGGCCACAAATTGGAACAGTACTCGGAAACAACCCTAAAGAAGATTCAAGTTCAACAACCATAAATCCCTAAACAGAGCACATACTAAAACGAGAGTTGGATCATCTAATCATCTTCAATAAGGCAGCACAAGGAAGCAACTAAAGAAGCAATTGAAACCGATAGTAAAGAGGAGCCTCACCTCTCAGGCGCTTGGAGGGAAAATCAAGGCCAAACTCCATAGTCATCTCGATCCGCAGGAGGAGCCATCTTTATTATCTGCAGAAGGGTCGATTTCGCAGATGGGTTCTCAAATGGAAGAGCCAAGCAGTGGAGATTTCGTCGGCGCTGGTGGAGGGTTCGATTCGCAGGATGGGTTCTAGAAGAGCCAGGCGGCGGAGATTTCACAGGCGCTGGAGGAGGGTCGATTCGCAGGATGGGAGTTGTGACGTTGGATCTGATTCAGACTCAGGGGAGAGCAGGCGGTGGAGAGGTCGATTGGGACGGCGGCAGGGTGGATTTGGACATGGAGAGCAGGCGGTGGAGAGATCGCCGGCTCTGCTCTTCGGAGAGGTCGCCGGCTCTGTTCTTCGTCGTCGCCTCGTCGGAGAGAATTTTTTTTGGGATCGGGGAGAATAATTGGAGTAGGAGTCGACACTCGACAGTACTAAAAGTCTAAGAGCAGGATTTTTTTTTTTCATATTAGAATATATATTATAAAATGAATAAAGAAAATAATATATGTTAATGGATTGGTGGATCAATCCATTAATCCATGAATCCAATCCACCAATCCATGAATCAAATGGATATGGATATAATGGATTTGGATCAACTTAAATGGATTTGGATCCATTTTAAATGGATTGGATTGGATTGGATAAATGGATTTGGATATCACTTGCCACCTCTAACTCTACCTAAGGCAAGACACTTAGCCCATGATTATACCTAGGACTAGGATGTGATCACTCTTCAGGGAATACGATGTCGTTTCCTGGCTTCTTAATCCGGCTTGAGTTGAGCAAAACGGTGTCGCTTGGCAACTTGGTTCTTTTGGCGTGTTCCGTCTCGCGAAACCCCATCCGCGAGTGT